GGGCCAGAGATGCCGTTGAGCACATGTTACCCGGAGCAGCCAGTGGGTTTGGGTGGGCATCAAACTGAGAGCCTTGAGTTTGCTGCAGGAGATGGGGGGATGCTCCTGTTCCTCTGTAGGAGCCATCTCTGACTGATAAGCCAGGCCTGTCCCTGGGCTGAGCCTGCAGCTGGTTCTACACCACTGATCTCTGCCGGGGTGGGGTTGGGAGGGGAGTGGAGCGTGCCCAGGCATCGCTCAGCCTAGGCAGGTTTTGGTGAGTTTGACATGGTTTGCTGGCCCAGGATTCCTTCGCTGACTCTGCGCTGCCTTTCTGGGAACAGCTGGAAATTTGAGGGTGGCGGGGGGGAAAGGGGGAGCGGGAATGTGCCGTGGCTGTCACACCTCGGTGGCCCGGGAGTTGAGGGGACATGGCTTGTGGACAGCTGCAGCCCCGTGTCCTCGGACCTGCCTTTGCAGCCACCGCGTCACAAACTCTCACTTGAGTCTTTCTACCCCACTGTGCTCTGCAGACCCTCAACTGCGTGAACCCCGAGAACGAGAACGCCCCGGAGATCCCTGTCAAGGTGCTGAACTGCGACACCATCACGCAGGTGAAAGAGAAGCTGCTGGACGCTGTCTACAAGGGGGTGCCCTACTCCCAGCGACCCAAAGCGGGAGACATGGACCTGGGTAAGAGAGAGGCCTCCCTGTGGGGAGCAGGGAGGTGGCTGCAGAAGGCAGGAGAATCCACATCTGTAGGAGAGGGGATGTGGCAGGAGCAGAGCATCTGTGCTTGTGGCAGCGACTGTGTGTGGGGACCCCTGGCATGAGAGTGCGAGTCCTGCCAGTGGAGAGGGTGGGGAGAGGACCCTCCTCAGCTCTGGCTGTGGGCTGGATTGCAGGCTTGAGGTGGCTGAGGCCCAAGGAGGCCAGCAGTAGTTGAGAACAGTGTTGATAGTCCTGTTCTTAAAGGAGGAGCAGGAGAATGAAGAGGAGAGGAGCAAAGGAAACGGTCGCCAGGGTCAGATCAATGCTGTCTTTTCTTCAGTACTTAGAAACAGCTTTTGCCCAACACCATATTGATAGTCATCAGTCCTAGGGTTCAGAAAGTGGGGGGAGAGCTCTTTTACTGGTGCCCAGACTGTGCTTCTACTCTCACCTTGGCATGGTGCTACCATTGCCTCCTAACCGTGAGCTCTTCCTGGTGGGGACAGAGTGGCGGCAGGGCAGGATGGCCCGGATCATACTGCAGGATGAAGATGTCACGACAAAGATTGATAATGACTGGAAGAGGCTAAACACCTTGGCTCACTACCAGGTAAGGCTGGCTGTGGTAGAGAGCACTGAGCAGTCACCAGCTACTTTGAGCTTGAGCATCTTTTCTCGCTCCTCAGCTTGGTCAGAATCCCAGAGTCATCTTGTCTGGAAAAGCCCTCGCAGCTCCTCCAGCCCAACCATGAGCCTCCCCCTGACCCTTCCCAACTCCCCCAGATCCCTCAGCGCTGGCTCAGCCCGACTCTTCAACCCCTCCAGGGATCCCGGGGACTCCCCCCTGCCCTGGGCAGCCCATTCCAACGCCCAACAGCCCCTTCTGCACAGAAATCCTTCCTCAGAGCCAGCCTAACCCTGCCCTGGGCAGCTTGAGGCCATTCCCTCTTGTCCCATTACCTCTTTGTCAGGGCCAGGGCTCAGCTCTCCAACTGCTGCTCATGGAGGGGCATGGCCGAGAGGTTTGCCGTCACTTTTCTGCCTGGGTACCATGTTAATGGTCCTTCTGTTGAAGGAAGCACTAAATGGGGCGTCTCCAGGACTCACAGAGGCTGTGTCCTGCTCTGACCTTACTTTTCACGCTGAGATTTCTGGTGTGTTCCTGTTCTGACGCCTTCCCCAGGGCTGGAGATGAGTGTCCCTGGGATGGGGTGCAGTGTAGCTTCCTCCCTCCTGGGCTGCTCCTCCTGTGCCCCCGCTGACACCATCTCTGCCTGCAGGTGACGGATGGCTCCTCGGTAGCCCTGGTGCCCAAGCAGAACTCGGCATACAACATCTCCAACTCCTCCACCTTCACCAAGTCCCTCAGCAGATACGGTGAGTGAGTAGGGGTCATCCTCTGCTGTGCTGGCTGGGCAGGCAGCGCTGGGCTGCGCGTCCAGGTATTTGTAGCTGCAGCTCATGTGAACAAGGTTCTTCCAAAGCCCCGACTCTCCTCGCCCGTACTGGTTATTCTGGTGTTGGAGAGGGAGCAGATGCCCTCAGAGCCATCTCTCTTTGCATTGTGTCAAGGGAGAAAGACATGTGTCAGATGGCGGCTCCTAAGGGGATCCCCTCTTCTATTCCCCTGAAATCCAATTAAAACAGTCACAGAGGCACTTTGCACTTAAATGAGCAGAGCTGAGGACTCCAGTGAACACGCTGGCGAGTGTTCGTCAGCCTTGGTTTGGAAGGGAATGGCGTGGTCAGGTCAGACTGACACAGGAGGCACCTGTGATCCTGGCTCCTGGAGCAGGACAGGCCTCTGCAGGTCCCTTCCCACCATGGTCCCGGCCCCTGAACACAAGGCAGGCTTGCCCCGGGCTCAGCGGGCTCCCAGCAGTCCCAGCAGGGCTCCCAGGCCGTGGCGGCCGCATCCCAACGCTCCCGTTCCGTGGCCATGACGTGCCCTGAAGCGGCGGCGGAGGGAGGGGGGTGCGGGGGCTGCGGGGGGT